CGAACACCTAATGTCTGACAATCATTTTAGAATTCTTCTGGTCTTTTTACGCATGGGCTAACTTTTAGACCAAACTCAGACTTAACCCCTTTTTACCCCATGGAATGCTTTATTTAGCTCCATTTTGTGCCTTCTATTACCCCGTAAGACGTCTCGAAACGCTACATCGAATTATATACTTTCTAAAAAATTGAGCGTATTTTTTGTAATTCTTTGTATATGTGACTACCGGATGTTTGGCGGTCACTGTAAAATTTGTCTGGCTCCTGCACACACGGGCCGGCCTTCGGGCCACGCTCAGGCCCAATTTGCCCTGCCGTCTTTGGAATACATGTATTCAAACACACTTATGCCTTCTTCCACCCTATGGAAGGCCCCAGTACACTACGTTCATCGAAGCATTATGTCTTTCAATAGTAAATAAAAGACCTCGGTATGCAATTTTCAAAATTGCATCCCTTTAAGAATTTGTAACTTATAGCATGGAAAATCTTAAATAGACGAATCCTGATTTATTTAATGCACAATGAAGTTGTGACTAACGACTAAACAAATGTGGCTTTGTAGGAAAAATCGCTTAAAACTCGGCTACTAATAAATGAGGTAAGGAACCCTACATTCATCAGACAAATCAGCGCATAATTCCTTCAACACTGGCTAGTGATGCCATAATAACACACCTTTAGGTATTTATATAAATATAAAATATATAAATATAAAATTTTGCCCACCTAGAATGCATAATATGGTTAAACGTAATGGATGCATACGTACCGCTTTTGTTTTACTTGTTCATATTTCCAAATGAATTTAATGCTATCAGATGACCTCGACCTTATAGTCAATTGCTATAGCATTTGCAACGTTTCATATTTGAAAGTAGTGTTGGCGTTTGTCTGAGAAATAAATAACAGTTTTGATGGCGTCGGGTGTTGTTCAATTGACTTGGGCATTTGGATTTAGAACAGGGGTAGCCAATTCGGTATCATTTAAGGACGAACACACAGTAATTTACCCGTGTGGTTCCAATTTGGTCCTTTATAATTTGGAACGTAAAAGCCAAAAATTTATCCCAGGCTTGGAAAAAAGCAATGGAATGTCCTCTATGGCAATAAGTCCTAACAGACGTTATGTTGCTCTTGCTGAGAAAACTGATGATGGGCCATGCATAGTTATCTATGATCTTGCATCACTTAAGCGGAAAAAGTTTCTTCGAGGCACAGGTCTTCTTGCTGAAGAATTTGTCAGCATCTCCTTTTCCCCGGATTCGTTGTATCTTGTTGCTCAGAGTGGAGGGCCTGACTGGATTTTGACGTACTGGCAATGGGAAAAAGCAAAACGTCTTGCTACAGTTCGCACTTCACAGGGAAATCCTATTCATCAAGTGAGTGCCTAGGCGAATGAGAGAAATCGTCCGTTAGGTTTCCATTAGTTTACATGATAGCACACAACTCTGTGTTATTGGCAAAGATACTTTTCGAACCTACAAGTACAATGAAGAGGTTATTAAACCAATCGGCCATTGCAAAGTTGACCCTCACAACTTTCTTTGCCACGCCTGGATAAATGATGAGCGCATTGCTGTTGGCACTGAAAAAGGCACATGGATTTTGATTAATAACGGCGAACTTCTTGAAGAACACAACATTAATCAATATTTACCCAAGGATACTGAGCAAACTGACGACAAGGAGTAGGTTTGGTCTACTTAACAGTCACAGAATATTGTTTTGCAATGTGTTTGGCCATTTTTTTTTGTTTAGAAGCTCTCTATCAAGTGAAGTCCCGGGATTGACACTTGAAGGTGCAACTGCAATCGCCACTACATCCAATTTCGTGTACGTGGCCTGTGGCCCAGGGTTGGTCCATTGCTACAAATGCAACCGTAATGCTGATAACAATGAAGAATATAAATCGGGTAGACGTGGAAAGTCGAATTCAGAAAATGCTAATGATGGCGCATTCTACTACTTTCGTGTGAAGGAGATCCGAATTCCCACTGACCCTAACATGAGCACAGACACTGGCTTATCAAGCAACCAACTCATCACTCAGCTTTGTGTGAGCCCAGAATTCAACCTTTGGCTTTGTAGTCTTGTTTAGTTCTAGAACTTTAGCGTTCTCTTACAGAACACAACATTGAGTACATCTGTTCTAATACATTACTGTATATTTTTGTAGCTATAGATTTCATAGCCTTTTTCTTAACGCAAATACTGACTCATTCAGCCTATGCAATGGGGTAAGGGAAATATCCAGGGTTTTAAAATGCTATATTTCATCTTATTTGACCTTGGACCTTTGGACCTTGCATTTTCAATGATCCATAATGATTATAAAAATGGATGATGCGAACCAAATATTAGCTTAACGAACGAGGCTTCCACGGTACTTATTTGCCAGAATCCCTTCTTGCAGTCGCATTAGTCACAAACGCTCTTCATTCAAATAAAAAAACTTTGAATTCCTTACGACATCTAGTTTATTAGTTAGCATATCCTTGGTGGTATATATGGATGGATTTGCGTACAAAGTGCTGATTCCCTTAAATCAAGAACTTGGTTCACATTGTGAGCATCAACCTGCTACAGCAACATCCTAGCGTATGTTTGTTGTACATGGCTAAGGCATGACCACATAAAAGTGGCAAAAATAGCACAAGTCTCTATAACAGAAACGCCCTAATCTTGTTACATTTATGGTACGATTACATCTCTCTCGACACCCTTTTGGACGTTGCGGATGCATTCTTTTAAATCGAACATTAAAATTGGTTAACAAATAAGAAATTGCCAAATGTAGACTTTGCTAGATGCAATTAACTTAAAGCACATGGCAAGGCTATGTCGTAAGAGTCATAAAAAGCTTCTCGCGGTGATTTAGCCCTACTTGTCACTAGGCCTAAAAGTTTTCAGTTTTATTGGTGTTATTGAGACCGAAAAATTCAGTGGCTTATTTTATCACCGTTTTCCACCCACTGAGAAAAGGCATATGTAACTCGAGTAGACAATTTCTGACTACTAGGACACTTCTCAAAATTACTAAGTTAATAAAGTACCGTAAACAAAAAGCACGTGTGGAAGTTGACCTAGGCGTTTGAAAATTGTGCGCATCACCCTTGCTCTCAGATCAATCCATCAGAGGAGACGCTGATTGCGAGCACAGCCTCACATCAGCTCTACACCTATGCATTGTTTACGTCGGATTTGGGCGCAGATGTTGGCGTGAGCAGATGGGAGGATACGGGCAACAACAAACCACGTAGCACAAATCAGTCGACCAAGCGTCGGCAGCTGTCGGTAGATGCCGTGGTAGCAGAGGAGGAGGAAAATGGCGTCGCAGTGTCGTACTTCCACCCCATGACGCAGTCCTTTCACGAGGGTAAAATCGTAGGCCTGGACATCTGCTCACGCAAACCTCTCATCTCCACTTGCTCCACTGATCACACAGTGCGCATATGGAACTTTGAGACAAAGTAAGTACTTTTACGAGTGTTGTCGGCAAAACTGTCATCACCAATATGGCCAAGGGAATGGTTGTTATAAAAATAGCACATTCCTCGCAAAAAACCGCTTTGAATACAACTTTTGTTGTGTTACAATGGAACTTTTTACAAAAGCTTTCGCTATCGCCGTTTAAGCGAACACTTTACCATTACCGCTATTAATACGGTGCTGGTTGTTTGCAGTAAATTGGAGCTCTATAAGGAGTTTGCTGAGGAGGCCTACAGCATAGCTTTGCATCCCCTGGGCCACTTTATTCTCGTGGGCTTCAGTGACAAGTTGCGCCTTATGAACCTTCTCATCGACGACATTCGAACATTCAAGGAGTTCCCCATTCGGGGCTGTAAAGAGGTAGGCACTGTGGACATGTTGTTGATTTACGCGACTTCACAGCGGCACATAATAGGAAGGGGTTTCGTGCTCATGTTTACAATATTTTTAATACAAAGCGCGCCAAAAGAAATTTAAAACTCTGGGATAAAAGGGAGAAGATGGGCAGAAGCGAATTTCTGAGAAAAATCCTCTGATAGAAATGAGACTTTTTTAAAAATCGCGGGATACATGAGGTCAAAGTTGACAATGCTTTGACACTGGCTCCCAACTTTGGTTTTGAGTTGGTTTTTAGTCTTGACAGGCCTAAAACGACATGCAATGATTTTAGAACATAAAAAGAGATAAACTGCAGAGCAGTTTTGCTATTTCTTGCTGTGAAATTTTATAAACAAAGTAAATAAATAGCAAATTTTTCAAGAAAACTGCATGCATGAATCGCCGCATCATTTATTTTTTATTTTCCTTTAAGCGATGGTGAGGAACAGTGTAGCTGAACAAGAAATTAAGGCAGGGCTACCATTTAACATCTGAAAATTGAATGCATCGTTGATAAAAATCCTCTTTAAAAATACGGCCATGCGTGTCGTGGTCGTGCTGGGGACTCGTGCGCATTAAAGTCCAACCACTGAAATAAGCTTTTCAGTAGCCCTGCCTAAAAGTTCTTTTGAAGGTCCACAAATCAACACATTCAGATGCATTAAAGGCCCTACTTTGGTCTCCATTTAAGATCTAATGTGTGCGGTGTTTCCGCACTACTTTTGTAGACAGTCTCGTGAGACTTCCCCATAGGTTGTACACAGCACTTGTGTGGAGTACACATATTTGGCAGGAGGGAAGGAGGTTGGGACCTTTAAGATATCTCAGAGACTAATCAACCTTGCCAAAGCAATGCGGCAATCAAAGTTAAGAATCAACCGAACAAAGTACTGCATAGAATAGTATGAGGAAATTTGTAAAACCTATCAGTCTAATCGCACCTCTGGCAGACATCTGCTCATTTCGCTGTCTCTTGTAGTGCGCATTCAGTAACGGTGGACATCTGTTTGCAGCAGTGCAGGGCAACAATATTCAGCTCTACTCTTCTACAAGTTTTGCCCTCATCAACTCCCTGAAAGCTCACAATGGGAAAATTCGTTGTTTGCTGTGGAGCGCAGACGACAATAAGCTCATCTCCTGTGGTATGGATGGTGCAGTCTACGAGTGGGATCCCTACGCCGGCAAGTCTTTTACTTTTTACTTTCATTCTTTTGTCCGTCGTTACTGAGGTAATCTGGAAAACAGATCGGATACTGGTGTCTATTTAGAAAATGATTGCTTGATTTGTGCGACCAGATACGGAATAGGTTGTAAATTTGGCAAGTAATAAACATTTCTAACTTGTTATATAAATGTACCGAAAATATACTGGTAGTTGGTTATCGTTTTTAATTTACTTCGAATTGGACACTTGTCTGTGTAGTTTGGCATTGTGACCCTCAGTGCAGCTTTTAAAAATCCTCTCCTCTTATTGTTGAAGGCATAAAACGGTACAGG